TTCACCTCTGCCCCACACTCGAGGAGGAGACGGAAAATTGACTCATTCCCGGCCTGTGCAGCTGCTTGGAGTGCATTGCCATATTGGCCACCATGAGAATTCACCTCTGCTCTGCGCTCGAGGAGCAGATGGACAAGTGATTCGTTCCCCCCTTGAGCAGCTGCTTGTAGTGCATTGCCATAAAAGCCACCCTGAGCATTCACATCTGCCCCACGCTCGAGAAGAAGGCAGACAACCCGTTCACTCCCAGCCCGAGCACCTGCTTGTAGTGCATTGCCATAATCGCCACCTTCAGCATTCGCCTCTGCCCCATGCTCAAGCAGAAGCTGCACTACCGACTCATTCCCTGCTGCCGCTGCTGCTTGTAGTGCGTTTCCATATTGGCCACCCCGAGAATTCAGGTTTACCGCATCCCCCCTATAGAGTAGCAGTTTACAGCAGGTCACCAAATTTAACAAGGAGGAATAGTAGATTGCCGATGAATAAACCCGGGTACCAGAGAGCGCACGTTGGGGAGGCTGATCGGGGTCGTATATATCCAACCAGCACTGGCCAAGCTTGAGAACCTTCGACGCAGCGTCGGAGACTGGAGTGGGTGCCGTATCCTCGATAGCTCCAATATATCTGAACCAATAGCGAGCACTGTGGTAGAGGAACGATGTTTCTTCGATTTTTTTCTCGAGTATAATACCTTGCGCGCTATGCTGCAGTATTCTGCTAAGACAAGCATGGCCCATGAGTAAATTGGCTTTATCCTCCGAAATATGATAGTAGGCACAGGGGCCCTGAGCTATGCGTTCGGAGATCAAGTATTCCTTGACCGAGGAATGTGCCAGTCGTAATCTGCGGCTTTCCAGGGAGAAGTATTTATCATCCCTGACCTCTTCGAATGAAATGAGGCTCGGGCAAATGCTCATGAGGGACTCCGGATCAAAAAGAGTTTCTGGGTCCTCGCCGTACTTGTTGACATCGTATTCGATCACAATGGCCTCCGCAAGTTGGCCTAAGGTCAATGGTTCTGCTGAAAATGCGAGCCAATTCATTGCTCGTCGAACATATTGCCTCTGCCTCTCAGGAATAGTATCAAGGATCCTCAAGTAAATAGAGTCTAGGTCTCGCGGTAGCTCCCTTAAGGCAGCTCTTACAGCGTTTGGCGTTATGCATCCCTCTAGAATTCGCAATTGACAATCTACCCATCGGAACCTGAACATATCCAACCGTGTATCAGTGCAAGTGGAAAATTCGGATGTTGAGCATAACATACATTCCTTGCGAGCGAGCGACAAGTGTGTCCTCTATCTCGCTCTTAATTTCCTTGGTAAATTCCTTGAGGCCATCCCTGTAGTTTAAAGTGTTCCGTATATATGCGCGGATATCTGGATCGATAATTCTGGATTGCAGCGATATTGAAAAGGTGGCAAGTGGTGGCAGGGATCTCACTATATCGGCCTCGGGACGACTCGTGAGGAGAATGGAAAGCGATTCCCCGTCATGATCACAAGTAAGCTAGCGAATCCACGATAGGAGGCCTCGCGTGGATTCTGGGAATTCGTCCAAGGCATCGAGAATGATAAACGTCTTTTTGGAAAGTTTTATCATCTGCGAAATCGTGATTCCTAGGGCCTTGATATCTGGGGACTTTCCAACTTCTTTGGAATTGCGATATAGATTTATTATCTCTTCGGGGAAACCCACGCCGGAAATACATTTTACCAGTTGGCCAAGGATTGAGAGGAGCAGATTGAGCAAATTTTGCTTCTCCGGGTCGCTGAATGTGAAGTAGAAATAGGCTAATGCATGATTTTCATTCACTCTGCATAGGTGTTGGACATCTTCAATGACGGTAGCGCTAGATAGTGGGTCAGCAATAAGGTAACCATATTGTACCTCCGGTGACCCCGTTTGTTTCGCACCTTAGGACACTCTTGCCACATCCGGCTACAGGACACACTAATGTTAAATTCATTCCCTGAAACATAATATTTCACTCGCCTGTGCACTTACGTGTTCCATAAAGCCAAAGAAGCCCTCCTCTACCCTCCCTCCAATCGATGTAGTCACGTCCATTGAGCAACCAATCCCCCGTACCAGGTTCACGGGCATTAAGGGCAGATGAAAAATTACTGCTGGGATCGACGACGTTAAGCCACTTCCGTACTTCTTGTGACTTATTCTCTGGGATTTAGGAATTCTGATGTTAGTAAAGAACATGACTGGCAGCGTTAAGGATAATGTGGCCAAGTACCATCAAGTTTCTGCCACACCCTTGTCGCCGTCTCTCTAAACAACTAGTTAGCTTTGCTACTACAAAAGAAAAGGAAGCGGAAAAGTTAGGTTCATAGTGTTGGGGGATAGGTGGCTTACGTTGTGACCCCGGTCAATAGCAGACTGAGTTTTGATTTCTGCTCTACAATCAATCCCAGGTAACGCTCAATTTTGGGTTTGCGAATAGTCCAAAGAAACTTCCTCGAGGATTTTCTCCATTCTGGAACATCCAACTTTTTCTTCAGCTCTTCGAGGGCCGCCCTATAACCCTCCAAACCCTCGAGCCCTGCCCATTCAAGATTTTCAGGGCGTTGCAGGCTATCCTCACCGCCCTGCGTAGCAAGGCCTCGTATTTCCTTCAGCATTCTTTCAATACTCTTAATCTCGTCACCGAGTCTCTTGAAATCTTGTCGGCTCCCCTTGACTACATCGTAGTAGTCATAGCAAAGATTGTAAACCTTTCCGCTGAGGGGAAGGAGGAAGTCCAAGCCGTGGCTATCTAAGAAGAGCTCTGCCATTTCTTTTCTCACGAATGCTGTGTCCTTGAGGGGGAGGCGTGAAACTGTCGATATTGTGGGTCGCTATATCTCAGGAGTGAAGGACGAACGAAAGCTGGCCTTCGATTTTAAGGTGGGTGGGCCTTGAAGCTTTGGGTTCTTTCGAGTTATGCTTTTTGACTGTGGGTTCAAAGGTGTGTTGGAATAGAGCAGTTAGAGGATAGTTCTGAGCCTTGATTTTTTAGTTTTCCGAGGCTACCGGTACGGTACTCGAGTAGGGGCGAGTAGGGGGTCTCAGGCGCCAGCTGTTCCCTGCATAGGCAGCGGCTGAGGGCCCGGTTGCGGAAGGCCCAGTCGCGACTGGCGCAAATCCAAAGCAACCAATACTCGAGCGGATTAACTTTAGCCCCCATGCTCACATTTCTGGTATCATAGCCATCGAGTTTTCTTCCCTAGACGAGTTTTGAAGCAAGTAAATTTACGCTACGCTTACCAGGCTTACCCGGCGACTCCTGAGCACTCGCAGACGCTTCTGCAGTGTTTTTGGTTCATTACATGAGGTTTTTCGCTTGTATAAATCTTCTTCTCCTTTGGTGCATTGCCTTTTTTTCTCCTTTCTTCGGTGGTTTAAACAATAGCGCCGTGTTGGTGTGCTAAGCGTTTACTCTCGCCAGACCACCATCCCATAAAGGGGTACCCTGGCAGGGGGGCTAGGGATCTACTTTTGTACTAGCTTCTCCACGTAACCCTGCCCACTACACCATAAATCGACTACCGGTACCAGATGTGGGAATCGCCAGACTCACGGTACCCCCCGAGTACCGTACAAGTAATTAGGGTGTGAGCATAAGGCTGTCAAACTTTGGCTGATTCATTGAAATTGCTAGGATTGTAACTGTGTTTTTGTTTTTGGCCTCTGTATGGCCAATCTAGGCTAATTTTTGGTGAGGGAAAAAAGTCTGTCGATCTCTTAGTAAGTTAGTTTGTTGGTGCCGACTATTTTGATTAATTGAACTCTTATCAAGTGGCTATGGAATCCCGTCCTCTGAGTGGCCGGGTGCCTGCAGGGCCAACCAGAGGGAGTTCGAGAGGGTTACCCTCGATACTTGATATGGGGATTATGGGCACCAATCTGGGGACTATGGTTAATAAAAACTCAGCGCTATGCCGGACGGGTCCTTTTTTCGAGTGTCGTACAGGCCGGATAATGCCGTAGACAGAACTACCGTATTATCTGGCGAGAACAGCCAGCCACATGTGCGTCGAGATGAGCGTCAGCTAAGGTGAAACGTACAAGTGCACCAAAATCAAGTCCCCCCCAGGCGGTACTGTACTCAAGTGCAGAGGCAGGATCTACCGTTTGATTGCGATCTCGAGACAAAGCAAGGATAAAAAAATTTCATTTGGGAGTACTAGCGCTTGCCAGCTCTCTCCAGAATGCGGTAATGCGGAAAAGTACTCGTACTTGTGTCATACTCAGGTGTGCTGATCCTGTAACATTCTGTAGCCACCGCCAGCAGTAAAGCTCCTCCGGCTTACTCAAAGATGCATTTTACCTAAAATAACTTGTGCTACATGAGAGCCATTCGGCCCCAATCCCGGTCGCTCTTCGGGTACAGCGCCGGTACTTGAGTGCAGTACTCGCCCAAGCGCTCGGATGCAGTCAGTGCTCGGATGATGTCAAGTTTTCACCTGATCTGTCAGCCGGTGTTGCCCAGACCGGTATCGCATGAAATAGAAAACCCTTCCTCTAGCCTAGCGAGCAACCGATAAACCCTGTGCGGCTCCAGAGAGCCTCATTTTCAGGGGTTCAGTACTTGAGTGCTTGTACAGTTCTACTATCATACTGGACTGCACTCGTATCGGTGCGGGCTATCTCTAGACATACACCTGTATCAAACCTCTCACCCCACGGCTCCTGTCCCGCACTTGACCGCCGTTCCCAGAGAATTTCCCTATTTCAAGACCCTAACATAGCAAGAAGGGCCAAGCCAAAGTATGAAAACGGTGGCAGGTGCTTGGGTCCTGGTGCACACGGCGCTGGATGTTCCGGGCGACAATCGAGACACCGGCAACGACTGTGAGGAACCGTTTTCCCGGGCGTCGTCAGTACCCCGGTCCTTCGGGTTATTCGAATTTCTTCTTTCCTCTGAGGAAACTGTTGGGGTTAGGGCTAGTTCCCTGAGCGAGAGAAAAAGGTGCTCTTGACAAACTCCAGTACCAACGACCCCTGGGCAAGTGATAACAACAGCTACGATAGCCTGATCTACGTTTTGTTTTTGCACACAAACAGCCTAGCTTCCTATATCCCCAAAAATATTGAACCACAACTTACTTCTGCTTCCAGATTCAGACTCACTACGATACCGTGGAGCGCGCCGGAGATATTGATGCCATGTTCCGTCCCTACCTCTCGTCTCGCATCCGCCCCTGATCACTATCTCTTCCGTTCTCATCTAGCTCCCGGCCTCCCCCACCACGCCCAGCTTTCGATCATACAAATTTGGCCTCGACCTCTCCTATCCCATCCGCTCACCGCTTGGTATTCATATCCGGCATTGCACCCTTCTCAACAAGTTCGCAGTATGTGGATATCGGTTGATAGCTGGATCCTGTCCACTGCGCGCGGTGTCGCCGAATGGACATCTGAACCGGCCCAGGACTGGGGCGGCAGAGATCTAGGGGGGTCCTCTACTCACTTTACTCTATCTAGGTAACAAAGCACGCTATTTAGTCAGCCTAGCTCTCTTATTTCTCTTCCACCTCCGCTGCAATTACCCTCTAGTTCCCTTCTACTTCTCACATTTTGCCCTGCTACGAACCCCGCGGCTTACTGTCAACCGTTGCCCCGGCCTCATGTAACCTTTTCCTACGGAGTGGTGGAGAGCTTAAAGGGTGATGATAGATACAGCCCGTGTTGCCGCGTACGGGTCCTACAAGTCGGCCGGTCTTTCACATGCACGCTCTTGGGTGTTTCGTTATGTGGTGAAAGCTGGCGGGGACATGCGGCTCATCCAGCCCCGCCCCGAGCATTGGAGGGTGGGCCGTTCGGAGCTCTGGATAGAGCTCTGAACTCGTTTTCCCCCCTTCCTCCCCCATTCCCCGCGGCCTGTTTGCGCCGCTACTTGTCCAGTTATTAGGAAATCTAGGCCTTTTCGGTTTCTGCGACACGTCCGGAGATCTGGCAATAACTTTTCAGGTTCTTTGCCATTCCCACGAGAGCACATTTTTCCTCGAGCGATCCGCTTGCAAGTACAGAGAGGGGGGGTTTGGAGGCAGTATGGAGTATACAATTCTTCCCTTGCTTTATCTCTTGTGGCTTATCTCATGTTTATCTTCATTATTGTTTCCCTTTCTCGAGGCTCTCTCGAGATTCTCTCCCTAGGGTTAGTGTATTGGTCCTAGCCCGCTACTCTATCCCCCTTTGTTTAGGCCTCTGATCCTACAGC